AAATTCTGAAAAAATTCTCATAACTTTATAAGAAGAAAATAAACAATTTTTATCTCTAGCAGTTTTTCTGTAAAGTTGATAGTATTTGAGTAAAAAATTATTGAAAACCAATATTCAGCGATTTTTTGTAATTAATATCTTGTTAACTATTGCGAAAATTGCAAAATGGTAAAGGACTTTTCGACTCAGTTTTTTATTAGGAATAGCACTGTATGATTAGTGTACGTTATTTTAGATACACCCTGTATATATGAATGTTTCTTAAGTGGGTTTGGATAAAATTCTTATTTAGGTGCATAGTACCAGTAAGAAGCTTCTTTACCAACTGGATCATCTTGTGCAAGTCTGTAATCAACCACAAGGAATTGACTATGTCGCCAGAAAACATGTACGTTAATTTGTGTTTAAGGGAACAATCGTTATTTCTCCTTTTTTAAAACCTTCCTCGTGATTGTGTTCTTGTATATTTAATTTTTTAAGAACACAAAGCTTAATTTGTATATAGGATGTTTTATCTAATGTGACCACCACCCCTTACAGTATGCGCCAAAAAAAAAATGCGACTCTCACAACTAACACTTCAATTGTCTGGTTTAGTTAAATAAAGTGAGTGGACGGGGGCAAATTTGATTATAACACAAATATTTTGTCCTACCAAATATTTATTCGATATGATTTCCTTTAACTGCAATCACTGCGTTACTGTGTCACGCTCAGCAAACATAATGGTGATTAAAAGAGAGTCGTATTTTTTTTGGCACATACATCTTTACAGGCGCATATCTTTGCAGGTCAAATAAAAATTTAGCACGTTTCACGTGTCAGGAATCCGCCTAAGAAAGAGAAATTGTACTCTCTTTTAAAAATCTGAAACATTTCTTAAAATTATATACAGGGTATATAATTTTAAGGTATATAATTTCCCATTTTAAATAATACATTAAGATTTCTCGAAAACTATGGTAGATACGGAAAAATGTTTCAAACAAAAGTTGTATGGTTCGGAGGGATACATAAGAAGGTACCATTGATTTGACCTTGGGTGGCGTCGTCAAGGCCAGGTCCAGGTCACGTCGATTTTTTTGAACGGAACCCCCTATTTTTCATTACATTTTCTTGTAGCTTACCTCGAGAACAAAACACTATAATAAAATATTTTTTCATTAAGTATTTTTCGAGTTGTAAGGCTCGAAAGTTACAGTACAATCGGCATTAGCATTAGCATTACGCAAGTTGTCCGACCGACGGCTAAAACCTTTTGAATGTTATTCAGGATCATGTCCTGGATAACATTTGTCAAGATCAAGGCCATTGAAGATTATTCCTCTTATTTTCATTTTTGCACTAAAAATTTATTTTTACGTAAAAATGAAAATAAGAGGTACAATCTCCGACGATCCGACAAAAGACCGATTCTTACATTGGAACTGACCAATCGCATTTGCTGTTCAGCAGAATTGACTAATCACGATTAACACTTAATCAGCCGATTAGGTTAATTGGAATTGGTGAAACCAGCTCTATACTTGCCTACTTCTCTAAGTTCATCTTTAGATGCTCTATAGCCAATAAAATAATTCGTGGAGCATCTGAGGGTAAATTTAAGGAAGCCTTAAATATAAGGTCTGAATACGGACAATAGTTGCTTTAACCTTCTCTCTGTGTACAAATATTTTAACGTTAATAATTAAACATATCACAGATAGCATTCTTCATTCGGCAACTTTTTATTTACGTTTTTATTGGGATGTGTTGCACCTTTTTTTTTAGAGGGTAATGGGTAGAAGTGAAATGCCGCGGAGTATGTGGGGCTCGCATCCACTAAAACCTGAATGTCCATCATCAAGCCATGTGGAGTACCCCTGGGAACTGCGTGCAGCATAATTTGTAAGAACACCTCGGCCCGTCAGCTCACGGTTGACTCGTACCCTGAGAAGTTCGATAATAGACCCGCACAACCCAAATTAGACTGCACTACTCTTCAGGCGAGGAGAGGGGACACCAGCCTCCCTCTCTTCGTCTCCTCGCGATGTTTTGAGAGGGCGGAATTGGAGGGCCCGAGTGTGTTCCACTAGGAATTAGGGGGATTTAACTACTCCTCGTCTCCTTCCTGGCGGGACCGTATCTGTCAGGAGGACGATGCAGAGTCCCTCCTCCTCCCGCTTGTGCTAGATTGCGTCCCAGGGGCTCCCTCACAAGGTCTCCCGCCACTCCTGTGCGATTTCGAAGAGGCGGGGCCAGGCTGGAATCCCGACCTCTTCCTCTTCCTCACTCTGGGTGGACCCATCGGGGCACGATCCATGGAGGCCGCCTCCTCCTCCTCGGTGACCCCCTACTTCTTTCTCCCAGTGAGAGATTGGGCAAGAAGGGGGTAGTAACTCGCTGATGCCGAGCGGTGGTCTCCTGGGCGCCTTCCCTCCCGTTGCAGAGAAGGGGCAATACGGGGAAGCATAACACTCCTTAGCGACATGCCCCTCCACCCCACACATTTAACACAGAGATGTAGTGCATCCCTGCACACAGATAGAAAACTAAAACTAAAAAATTGTTTTTTTTCCTTAGTATTAAATTTGTTTCATTAAAATTAACGTTTTTGTCAGAAAGTTGGGAAAATTCTAAAAAATTCATGTCTATAAAAATTTTGTATATTTTTTCTAATTTTTTTTTAGCTATAAATGTCAAAAAAAGGAAAATTTCTTAAAACTACTTCCTTCAATATCTTTGATGCAAGGCATACAGTACTTACTTACTTGTTGACCTTTAATCTTACACGATATGTGCACTTAACATGTTTTCATGATCATTTAAAAAATTCCAAACATTCATTTTTAGATGAAGAGTTCTATGATCTCTGGAGGGGGATAAGTAATAATAAAATTAATTTTTTTTTTAATCAATTGTTCGAGATCATATGAAGGTTATTGTCATTTTTAAAAATGGAATTATATATTTTTTTTTTATATAAGATGATCCCTCTAATTATTTTGCTTATAAAAATGCATTTATCAAAAAATCAATAGTTTATGAGATATTTTGTATTTTACTGGGTCACATTTTGACATGAAATATAAAATATCTCTCTCGTAAACTATTTATTCTTATATATATATATATATATATAATTGAACCTTTATACTTTTATGCATAGAATAATGAAATGAATCAATTAGTATAAGAACAAGTTGCTTTTAAAAAATATTATTCAATTTTTTCGCAATATGAAACTACATATTTTCTTTGGCAAACATCATATTTTCTTTACCGCAATTAATTTATCTTATTATTCTATGCGTGAAAGTATCAAGGTACATTTATTAAAAATTTAGTTTCCAAGATATTTTACATTTTATGTCATATAATATAGTATACCAGAATAAAGTATAAAATGTATTTGGTAAACTAATTAATTTTTTGATAATTCTGCCTTAATGCTTTTATATGTAGAGTACCTAATTAAAATTGAAAGAATTATTTCATTTAAACAAAATCAATTCGAGTTTAAAAAATAGGAATGATTTTCATACAATCTTAATTTTTTTTTATTTTATTTTATTTTTTTTTTCAAAAATTAATTTTAATCCCGTTTTGTCCTCCTTCCAACCATACAATCTTTGTCTGAACATATTTTTAATTCGATCTTATCATATGAAGATTAAGGGTGGTTACGTTAACACTGTATACAAGATGATTCGTATAAAGTGATCGTTTTAATTATTATTAGCGGATATATATGAAAAAGTAGTTTATACCAATGTGTATTCAGTACAAAGAGGGACCTCGTATAGTGACATTTCAAGGTCAACTTCATTTTTTAAATGGAATTATATGAATTTTTTTGCACAATATGATTCCTCTAATTATTCTGCATATAAAAGTATTAAGGTAGAAATATCAAAAAACCAATAGTTTACGAGATATGCTATACTTTATTCTGGCACAAATTGACATAAAATGTTAAATAACTCGTAAACTATTAATTTTTTTATAATCGTACCTTAATACTTTTATGAACAGGATAATAAGATGAATCAATTGGTATAAAGAAAACATATAGTTGCTTATTTAAAAAATTATTCAGTTTGCCCATACATTTTTTTACAGCATATTTTTCTTTACACGAACTGATTCGTCTCATTATTCTGTTCATGAAAGTATTAAAATACGATTATTAAAAAATTAATAATTTACGAGTTATTTAACATTTTATGTTAATATGTGCCAGAATAAAGTATATATCTCGCGCGCGTAAACACTATTAGTTTTTTGATATCTCTACGTTAATATTTTATGCAAAATAATTAGAATTAAAGGAATTGTATTGTGTAAAAAAATTCATTTAATTCCATTTTAAAAAATGAAGCTGATCTTGAAATGTCGCCTACGTTTTCACCTATATAATAATTGTTTTTCCTTTGTATTGAACACATTGATACAAACTACTTTTTCATATATATTCAAATTTCGCTAATTAAATCTGTTACTTTATACGAATCACCCTGTATACATATATACATATATAGGGTGTCCCGAAATTTGAGGGTATATTATTGCAGCGTGAAACTGTGAAAAATTAAGTAATAAAAGTGTAAACCATTTTTTTTTTCATGAAATAGTTTTTTAAATATAAACGTTCATTAACCATAAGCGTTAGTTAAAAAATCATCTGTCCATATGACGTGTGTGCAATAGTATTAGATACTAAATCAAATATTGCCGCTGTACGCACTATCACACAGACAGATTACTTTTTAACCAACGTTTATGATTAGTCCAACTTTAAACGCTTATATTTAAAAAAACTACTTAAAAAATGGCTTGCGCTTTTATTATTTAATTTTTCATAAAGTTTTACGCTGTAATAGAGTAGGTATTATCCTCGAATTTCGGAGATATATATGTATGTATATATATATATATTGTTTCCGAAAAAAATGCTTATTATTGAGTGAGATAACAAATGCTTTTCATCATTCTTCTATTCAAATTGCTCTTTGCATGAGATAAGAAGAAGGAATTGTTTCGTAAAATCATTCTGCAAATACTATTACCTTAAGAAGGTTTAATATAGAGAAATATGCTTGCTTATGCTATAATAATATGTAATTATGTAAAAGCATTGAATAATATCTAATGATACTGATCAGGATGCATGCAGCATTGTTCAATTAATTAATATACATATTAATCTTCGAGAGCGATTGTATTATAGTTGATATTTTTGACATCTGAATTAGAGTCAAGATGGACACAGTATTGAGAGTCATACTGGCACAAGTGGTAATCCAGCGGCTGATTACAGCGAAGGTGCATCTCACGTATTAGCTGTCATTCATCAGATTCTGGGTCATCACAGAGCATTAGAAGCGCGCTGGCACGCTCGCAAAGTCAAGTTGCATCAACGGCTTGCATTAAAGTATGAAAATAATAAAATAAGCTTATCGTTACATCGATAGTAACGCATACAATCGTGATTTTCAGATTATTTCAAGAAGATGTAAAACAAGTTCTTGACTGGCTGACTAACCATGGCGAAGTCTTTATTAGAAAAAATACAGGCGTAGGTCGTAATCTGCAGAAAGCACGCGTCTATCAAAAAAGCCACGAACATTTTGAAAATGTTGCTCAGGTGACTGTTTAGTATATGTACTTTATAATATATAACTTATGATTTTATATATAATTCTTAGGTTTCCATGAACATACTTAACATTTTTTTCGTTTGCAGAATACTTACACAAATGCGACTAAGCTTTTAACTGCTGCTGAAGAACTTGCTCACACAGGGGAATGTGCACCTGATGAAATATATGCAGTGGCACAAGAATTGGAGGCCCACGTTAGTAGCTTCGCAGCAAGGGTCGAGCAACGGCGTCGCAGATTAGATCTGGCAGTAGTATTTTATACTCATGAAAAGGAGGTATTTTTATACGGATTGATTATATCTAACAAGGGAAATAGGATGTGTTATCTCCGTTTTTTGATTGAATTACACACATACACACACATACACATACATACACACACACACACAAAATTGTCGTTAAGTAGAAATCAATGCTAAATACATATATTAAAGCAATACAAATTATAACATAGTTACTCGGCTGACAAGAAAAAAAAGTTTTTTTTAAATCACAGCCTCGGCTCAAAAGGCTTCCATTTCATGCCAAAAGATGTAAAATCCCTAAATTTTTATCAAAAAATATTTGAAAATATAAAGATTTAGAAGTCGCTAGTGAACGATTCTTAAATCAAAGTTTCGATTTTCCTTAATACATGTTTGATTTGATGCAAAAATAATCTGGATCTTAAATGTGGTACTGTATGTTTTTTGGTCGCTGAACACGATGCAATAATTCATTTAATCCTACGATATACGGCTTAAGAAATACAGCTCAATTAATGTGAAAAAATGATCAAATTTCGAGTTCGAGATCGATTTTAGCAAGGTTCCAAGCGTTCAAATAGGTCGTTACTCTCCTTAAATTGTAGTCTGTTCACCCGAAACTTCAAAATCGAAACTTTGATTTAAGAATCATTCACTAGCGACCTCTAAATCTTAATATTTTTTGATAAAAATTTTGGGGTATTCTTTTGGCATGAAATGGAAGCTTTTGAGCTGAGAGACACTTATTAAAAAAAAATATTTCTTTTTTCCTTGTCAGTCCAATAGTTACTATAACCTTTATATAGTTGATATTATAATAAATGTAAAATTCACTAATGCTGTTTATAATGAATAGTGTATTTCTAGTTTGCTAGAAAAAATGCCAAATATTTAAAACAAATATGTAGGCGTTTATCAAAAAATTTAAAAAGCTACATGTGCTGTTTAGCGGTTGGATTATGTTGTCAAACAGTATAGGTTACAATAACATTTTGATTACGATTAAAATTTGAAAATAATTGTAAAAGTAAATACAATGATATAGTAATTATGATAATAATAAATGTAATATTTTTATATTTACCAGAATTAGTTTAAAAAGCTGTTATTATATATTTTGTAATTTTGTTTCGTAGTAGTGTACTATAATTTTAGGAACGTTTGATAAAATTTTTAAACGTTCGAAAGTGCAGCCTTGATCAATTAACAGGCTTGAAAAGTCTTGCCGACACATGAAATATCAAACTAAGGTGTCGGATTACAATGCTGCGTATCTCGGCGTACTGCCTATTTGAATCTTACTTTTACAAATTTTTTTTCATCTGCATTGCAGCGTATTATGTATTTTTGTATTTTTTAATATTTGACCTGAAAAATTAACATTTAAAATTTATGTACTTTTAATACGTGTTATGCAATTTTTATTTCATAATAAAACATTTCATAATAAATGGAAAAGAAAGGAAAGAGAAAAGCAATAAGAAAAATCTTTTTTTTATTATATATTTGCAATTGTGATAAGACTTTTATTTTTATTACATAGAAACATTATTTATTTTTAAAGTTATCATTTTCAAGCAAAACTTCGAGCGAACTCTTGCAATAAACGAGAGCGTTTGTCAAGTTGTTTTTTAATTCATCATCTTTCTGCAAGTTCGTAGATTACGGGCTTGAAATATTTTGTTTCACGTTGGTACTCTTATATTTTTCTATTTGCACATTGTACTGCACGCTCCAAACACTAGCCCTCGCTTAGCACGAATAATGATCTCAAAATCGTTTCAAAATCTCACAAAGAAAACACAAGTTTTAGCGTGCTCGGTATAAAATCAAACAATACTAGAGATACTTTTACTAATTGTAAGAAAGAATTGTCTGCGTAGTCGAAATTCGTTGTGGCAAGAATAAAAATCGTGACGAAAGATAATTTGAAATGTGTTTATTGTATAGCAAATAAATTCAATGTAATAATGTAAATTGCATAACACAACTTAAAATTACATAAATTTTAAACTGTAAACATTCATTTTTCAGGTCAATTATAAAAAAATACACAAAGACACAATAATACGTTGCAATGCAGATGGAAGAAAAATTTGCAAAAGTAAAATTGGAACCTGAAATGCGCAGCATTGTAGTCCCTACGCTTTACTCATTACACCGCACCGCTTCTCTCAAAAACAGCACGTAAATCTTTAAATGCGTTTTTCTCGCGAATATTTGAGAGGCGCATTCTATAATTTTAACACGAATTAGTCACTAAAGATGGCTAAACGTTTGCGTGCGTACGTGCATACGTATTTAATTCGGCCAAATCGGAAACAACACATCCTGGTGCTCCCCTTGTAAAATTGTTTACAAGTACAAGTAGTAATCTGTAAAATGTGCAGATATATATGTATAAATCGTATATGCATGTATGCCATCTTGAATGTAGTTTTGTTTTATAGCTGACCGGTTGGGTAGATGAGTTACGTCAGGAATTGCAACAGGATGAGGTTGCGGAAAATCTGGAGACAGCGGAAAGATTGTTGGAACAATGCGCGCAGCACAGATCATCCTGTCTTGAGGCGTGTGCTTCAACAATAGCTCAGGGCGAAGCTCTGCTGCAAGAACTACGCGAGGCAACCGACGCGCCCGACACAACCGGTTCGATATCAGCGGTGGAGTCAGCCTTGGACAGATTGGCAAGCTTGAGACAAGAATTAGAAGACTTGTGGGCGACGAAAAAGCTGAGACTGGAACTGTGCCTACGATTACGCGTGTTCGAGCGCGACGCACTAGAGACTAGCGGTCAGCTGGAGATGTGGGCGCAGGAGCTGCAAGGCCCACCGCGAGAAGGTTCTCCAGAACAGTTGCTACGCGTGCACAACGATGGAGTCGCCCATATGCAAAATACCGCTTTCCAAATTCTGCACCGTGGGCAAGAATTAGCGCAAGTTTTAGAGGAAGCAGGATTGTGTATTATGGCGGACGGTCAGCATAGTGCGGCGGCGCGGGTGCAGGTGCTTCTCGAGTTTTTGAACGAGAGAGAGTTGGATGCAGAGGACCTCGCAGAAATGCGAAGAGTACGGCTAGAGCAAGCTTCTCAATTACTGCAACTGCAGACGGACGCTTCTCATGTGATTAAGTGGATACGAAACGGCGAGTCGATATTACTGGCTTCGCTGAGGATACCAGACGATTTCGAAGATGCCGATCAATTAGGAAAGGAACACTATCATTTCCAACTTGCGATAACGAATACTCATGCGTCTGCCGTGCAAGTGAAGCATAAAGCAGATTCGTTGATAAACGGGAATCATTACGATCCTAAAAGTATCAGGGAGGTCGCGGAGGATGTTACCAAACGGTGGCAGCAACTAGTGACCTGTGCGGAAGAACGACATAAATTAATTACTGCCAGTTTAAACTTTTACAAAACGGTAGACTCGGTACGTTCGGTTCTCGATAGTTTAGAGCTACAATATAACGTGGATGATGATTGGTGTGTCGACGGAGAAAAAGCCGCCGGAATACCGGCGAATATCACGAGACACCAGGAGCAAAAGGAAGCTTTTTTAAAGGCGTGCACGTTGGTACGGCGAACCGGAGAAACGTTCTTAAAATATATCAATCGTAGTTTACAATTTTACAGCTATCACGCTAATAGCGCCGGTTCGGCAAACAAAGTGAAAAATATTTTGGAGGAGTTAGTCAGTAAGGAAAACAAAGTGCTCGAATATTGGACGCAACGGAAGAAACGCTTAGATCAATGTCACCAGTATGTTCTGTTTGAACGTAGTGCAAAACAGGCTCTCGAGTGGATAAAAGAAACCGGGGAATTATATTTAGCGACGCATACCAACGTCGGTAAGAATCGCATCGAAAACGAACAATTGTTGCAAGAGCATATCGAGTTTAAGGGTGCAGCGAAGGAAACGAGAGAGAGAGTGAAATTGTTGATTCAACTCGCTGACAATTTAGTCGAGAGGGGTCATGCTCATGCTGCGGCGATCAAACAAGCCGTTGCCGAAGTCGATCAACGATACAAGGACTTTAGTACGCGAATGGATAGCTACAAGACACAAATCGAAGGCGATCTAGGTATTCAATCTGACGAGGTGCATAGAGATCTCTCTATCGATCGGAATTCGGATCCATTGCTGGAAGAGAAGATCAAAGGTAAAGATTTGAAAGAATTGAACGAGGAGAAGAGAAGATCTGCACGAAGGAAAGAATTTATTATGGCTGAACTGTTGCAAACTGAACGTACGTACGTGAAAGATTTGGAAACTTGTATCCGTTGCTTCCTGGACGAGACGCGATGTGGAAAGGGAAACGTTCCGATGGGTTTACAAAGTCGGGAATCGATCATTTTTAGCAATATAGAGGAGATACATCAGTTTCACAGCAATGTCTTTTTACGCGAGCTAGAAAAGTATGAGACCATGCCAGAGGATGTGGGACATTGTTTCGTAGTGTGGGTGAGTTTATTTTACATCGATACATATTTAATTAGGAGGACAACATACATACGTACATGTACATACATATATTCGTATCTCGTATTCCAGGCACCTAAATTTGACATGTACGTTACTTACTGTAAGAATAAACCCGAGAGCAATCAACTATTAATAACGCACAGCGGAACATGGTTTGAGGAATTGCAGAGAAAGCATAGAGTGGAACATCCTATCGCTGCATATCTAATCAAACCTGTACAGAGAATTACCAAGTATCAGCTGTTACTCAAGGACTTGCAGGTATTCGCATCTGTGTATATTGTGTATATGCATCTCAAACTTGTAGGGTACTTCATTCTCTTGTTCCTTTCTTCAGGCTTGTTGCCAGGAAGGACAGGGCGAAATAAAAGAGGGATTAGAAGTAATGTTAAATGTGCCTAAAAAAGCTAACGATGCCTTACACTTAAGTCTACTGGAAGGTTGCGACGTTAGTATAGATGCGCTCGGTGACGTTGTATTGCAAGACTCGTTCACAGTATGGGACCCAAAACAGTTGATCAGGAAAGGAAGAGATCGTCATATATTTCTTTTCGAATTGTATCTTCTTTTTACAAAGGAAGTGAAAGATTCTGCAGGAAAGGTTGGCACGCAACTTTTTCTTTTTCGTCTAGTAAAAAAAGTTTCTTTTATACGTGTACATATACATATATCACAGTATGAAAATGGTCCGTCTAGGTGAAGTACGTTTATAAAAATCGCCTGTTGACCTCCGAATTGGGCGTGACCGAACATATCGAAGGCGACGAATGCAAATTCGCGGTATGGACAGGACGAGCACCAACCAGCGACACCCGCGTGGTGTTGCGTGCCAATTCGATGGATGCGAAGCAGCTGTGGGTGATGCGGTTACGCGAGGTGATACAGGAGACCTTTTTAGGCAAGAATATGCCCAAGAGCCCCGCTAAAAAGAGCTCCAGTCAACGCTCCAGCAGAGATCTCGAGGAGTGTGCGTCCTTGGACGAGAGTGTGGAGAATCTCGACAGAAATTCCTTGGCTTCCTTCGGCTCGACTAACACTACAGATTCTGACAAGGTAAAGCTTCATTTTTTTATTATTTTTTTTTTTTAATAAAAGTAATTTTTCTGTCATTTTTTACGCGACTTTTTTACGTGACAATTCAACAGGACTTGCATCACCCCAGTATTTTTTCATATATAAATTCCAGTATATATCATGTGAGTGTAGTGATGTATTATTTTTTATTTAGAAAATATAAAACTGCTTCGCGCGTTACAACAGATGAAGCTAAAAGGTATTTTAAATGTCCAAAATAGTGATTACTTCATTGCTCCAATCTCGAGTCATATTTGTTTCAGTCGAGTCGAATTCGCCGCTTTTCGCTGATGGCGTTTCTATGACACTAGCAATGTTATTGACTCAACTCGCTTCAACTCGCTTTTTACTTATGATTGTGCATTTGAAAATGGCATGAAAATAAAAAGTATACTCGAGTTATAAACAAAATTTTAATTTCTAATAAAAAAATATCAAAAATGTTGACTAAAGCGAAAACAATTGTCAACGTTTTACAAATTATCCAAGTAAGCCAGCATCATGGGCGCATTTTGCAAACGAGCCATAATTAAATTTTTCCTTTATCTTTAATTGTCGTATCTACTAATATATAAAAATAGTTTGGACTGTGCCTCAAAGACGTGCAAAGTATAAAATTTCTAATTACATTAGTTAATAAATAAAAATTTTTTTTGTTAATACAACAAAAATAAGGTGGTTTTTAATTGTTTTTCATGTCATTTGCAATAAAAATATCTGCTTTTAATACATATACAGCATACATATATACACACACATGAGAATCCCAAATCAGATTTCCAACTTGAACAACAGAAAAATATAAGTTATAAGTTTCTTCAAGGTTTTTATAAACACGTCTATACTTTGTGATTTCATAATGTCACGTATAACAAAACTGCATTTACTTATGTAAGATCTACATGAAGAATTTGCCATATTTTTAGATTTTCAAAAAAAAGTCCTTTTGAATATCACGAAAATAACGTATTATGACGCTTTTGAATATCAGGCATGTAAAATATTATTTAAGGGGTTACACCACCTTGACCGCCTAAAAATCGTAGGTAATTTTGGGAATTATTTTTAGGAAAACGAAAGTAATGAATTTAGGAAAACGAAAGGAAAACGAAAGTAATGAAAATTTTGTTTTAAGGTTTTTATAGAACAAGCCTTCAGCTATAAAATTATTATATATTTTTCATTTCTTTTTCAATGGCGACATCAGAGCTGCTGTATTGAATGTCGTTTTGCTGCGACTGTTAAATCGGCGTTGCGGGGATCTGACTCTCGGTTGGATCTGGAACAAAAAACCAAAAATTTTTATTTTCTATATAATATATAGGGGAGAGTGATCTAAATCGAACCTATTTGCAGTTTTTACTCTCTATAAGCCATAAATAAAGTCCGATAACGGAAGTCGTAAAACCGAAGGTGCCATTGGAAAGATCACTTAATTCCCTTTTTTTTTGCTTCAGACCATTTTGACGTATCTCTCACCTGTGTTGAACTATAACGGAAAATGTAAAAACGCTTTTTTCGGTCCGATTTGGAACCAATAGTTCCAAACCGGACCATCCCCTGATTCAAATCGAAAACTCCTATATTTTTATGGATTTTTTGATAGAATTTCAAAATATTTTAATGTATTTTTCTTATTATTGAGTAAAAACGATCAATTTGACAGTCAAAGATAAAAGTTTTTTCGGAAAAAAAAATTACTGACAGTTTATATTATTAGAATTGAAATCAATAAAACTCAACTAATCTGAGTCTGATGACTCATGATATTTTACTGATTTAATTCCTTGGACCAGATCTAGTCAGCCGATCACCAGTACTACAACCAGGCCTATAAGTTATCTACTGTACTGTCCGATTTGAACACGGGTTCTTTCGAACTTTGGAACAAATTTTACAATAAATCGCAAAAGTGATCACAAAATTCTTGATATTTTTTAATTCTACACTCTATAATTATCTTAAATCAATTACTTTTCACATTTTTAACACCTTTTAAATAATGATTTACAAGGATTTTCTTTTTTAAAAAAATTTTCGCACGATGGCTGAAAATACATATTTGCGTCTATTTTATGAATGTTATGACAGAGAACTGTCAAACTGCTATCACATGTTCGGTGTCTTATAAGGACTTTACATTATAAATAATACGCAAATTTGCTTAATCGTATTCATTTAAATTAAAAAGGTCCTATTTGGAACACGATCCGATTTAGACCACTCTCCCCTATTAAAAGAAGTACGTACTGATATTTCGAAAGATTGATTTTTACGAAAATGGCGAACATTTGAAAAAAAAAAGGTCTCATTATTGCCTAAAAATTTCGTCGAAAAATGTTAAATAAAAAAATTTTTATAATATATCGCAAAATCCGTACATGCTTCTTTAGATTATCCAAAAAAGAAGATTCTGTGTAAATTTCAAGTAAATCGGATAAACAGTTTCAGAGATCCGCGCAACGCCAACTTTGAAAATGTAGTTTCGAAAAAAACGCGTTTAAAATTGCTTTCCGATATTTCGTGTGTTTGGTCGAAAATATCAAATTTACCTTTAGTCTGCAATGTCTCCGGGTCATATAACTATCCTTCTATATCGATGTTTGCCTCATCTTCTTCTTTTCTACTCGTTTTGGATGACCCTTTTTTCTACCTTATGAGTTCAGGTACTCCGAATTAGTCCGAACTACTCGACGCTACAGACACGTTTCACTAAACTGGCTCGAAACTTGATTTAAAAATGTGAATTTTTAATTTTAACTATTAGAGAACCTTATTTTTAAGACTATAAACTATTATTTAAGGTAAAAAAATTCGATTTTTCTGAAACCTCCAAAATGGTGTAACCCCTTAAAGCTAATGCAGATCGATCGAAATAATCAATGAATGACAGAGAGCATAGAGAACATTTTGCGCGAAGACTAGTCTCCTGATCATTTTTACCCGCCCTTTGTATTTTTGATACGTTTGTCTTCAAGATGCAGATTGTAAATATTTTTCTTCGTTTTCTTCGGAGCTCATAAAAATTGGATCTTTCTCTCTCTCTCTCTCTCTCTCTCTCTCTCACTCTCTCACTCTCTCGAGCGCGCGCTCACTCTCATTGCTCTCATTCTCAGAACGAGATCGCTTCCGAATCAGAGTTGGCCCTTCCCCCTGCGATAGGGAATATAGGGATGGCGACACGACCGCAACACTAGGAATAGCGGGGAATAGTGCGGAATACTGAATAGTAGGAAGGCCGCGGTAGTTAGTATAGTTGTGCAGGGTTGGGTGGGGTTGGTTGTAATCTTGTCACTCCGCACAGTCGGTACGGGTCGGGCAGGGTCGGGTCGGGTCGGGTCGGGACGGGACGGGACGGGACGGGATGGGACGCAGATCAGTCTGATCAGTACGGGCGCGACTCCCGGGTCGGATGGATCCGTTTAGGGATCTACCGGTGATTGCGAGACGCTGGGCGAATCGGTAAAACCCTGACCTTCTTGCTGGAGGAAGGGAAGAAAGGGGGGAAAAAAAGAAAAAGAAAAAGAAGAAGATAGGAAAACGGACGATGGGGGACGCAGCGCGGATCGCCGTGCGCTCGAGAATGTGCTCCGTGAACGACAACGCGCTATCCACGACATCGTTTCTGCCCTCCTGCGCGCCACGGTCGTCCTCGTGCCTCTGAAGCGACCGTAACCGCATGCCGCGCCGATCGTAAGGTCAAGTCTTCCTTATCATGACGTCACCGGCCGGGAAACCGGCGACAATCGCCCAGAAGGCGCGCAGGAAGATCTCCCTGCCGTGGTTTCGCCAGGGCTCCGCGGCACCGCCGCACGTCACCCTCTCCAGGCAGCACACCATTGATACCCCGAGCTCCTTCCAGGCTCGACTTTTGCGCCGTCAACCATCCCTGGCCCAGGTACTTGGCGCCACAATGCCGCAATGTCCGCGAGCTTTTATCTCTCCTTTTTTTAATTTTCCTTAATTTTTCTTCCCTCACTTGCCCTCGTCTCTTCGAGAGAGTTACGGTGGAACTTCAATAAACTCCGCGTACTCCTCTTTTTGGGATTACGAAAGAATCGATCGACGTTCCATCCAGAAGATCTGGAAACTCGCGAAAGGGCAGATTTCGTCCAACGAGCACTACATGACTCTTTAAGAGCATCGTCGTGGCGATAACGTAATTTTTTTCTCGTGTTCTTTTATTCTATATTTTTATTATTCTTCCCTCTTCTTCATCTCGTTTACGCGTCGCGAGAAAACTTGGCACGTGAAAAATTCTATTTCGGATCGCGAAATGTTACGAAAACGTCGGGCAAATAATTATGCCCGTCGAAAGAGGAAGAGAGAGGGGGGAGAGAGAGAGAGAGAGAGAGAGAGAGAGAGAGAGAGAGAGCGCACGACTCTGATCCGACAATCAGAATCACTCGGGCGTGAGTAATCGGATCTCTGGAATCTCGCTCCGTCGATCCGCAAATTCAAAGACAATCGGTCTTTCGCGAACGGGAGAGCCCTCGGTCGGAGAGGACGATCGTATCGACCCGTCTACGCTTGCGTAAGCAAGAGGGCAGACTCTTCTCTTCGGACTCTTCCTCTTTGCTTTGCTTCCCTGTGCCTTCGGTTTATATCCTACAGCCTTGCCCGCCCCCGTCGCGGCCGCTAGGCGCTATCATCATCGCTTTCACGCACGCGCGCACACAGACCCTAATATTCCCTAATTATCCCATTTCTGTATCTTTATTCGCCCTCTCCCTGCCCCTTCCTTTCTGAGAGCCCCGATGACGATATTTAACGCGCGCGCAATGTATCGCAATGTATCGCGGAATAGAGGAATTGAGAATCCTCGATGCGTGATCAGCATGATTCCGGATTTCAGACCGGAGTCGTCGAGATGACGTGGGTGGTCGCTGATCATATGGCCGCGCCCGGCTCCAAGGAGCTCAGCGTGACAAAGGGGCAGCAGGTTGAGGTGCTGGAGAATGGTAACGCAAACACCAGCACCACCGGCGCGAGCAGCATGCCCAGCAACGCCGGCGAATGGACCCTGGTGCGTCTGCCGCTCACGCCCGGACAGATCGAGCCAGCCGCGGAAGGTCTAGTACCCACCAGCGCCCTGAAACAACCGCCAACCGCCTCCTGCAAAACTTCGCCGTCCAGAAAAGCGTCCACGCAACAGCAACAATCGCATCAGCAGCATCATCATCATCATCATCATCATCATCATCACCAGCCACAACAGCAGCAGTCGCATCATCATCCGTACCATCAGCAGCAGATCAATCAAGCAATCGTCCAAACACAGCAGCAGCAACAAACTGCCGTCACGTCTTCGACTTCCGCCAACACGTTGCCACCGACTTGCTGCGTAGCCGGCATCCCGTCGATGACGCAGCAAACATCCTCGTTGACAGCCCTGTCATCCACGGTGCTGTCGCCGATGGAGGATGCGGGTAAGTGAATTTCTTCCCAGTACCGAGTAACTCGACTAGTTGGCAATAATACGTGTATTATCGCGCGACGCGTATCAAGTATAACAGGATTGGAGAACTGCAGGAAGCAGTCGGTGAACCGCAAATCGGCGCGATCGCACACGCTCGCACACCTCTTATCTATTCCGATAACCGATGGTTGATAAGCTGGAGCGCAATTTTAGGAATGCGTACTCGTAAAGTAAGTAATAATTGTTCTTTTGTTTAATCAACAGAAAACGCTGGAAGCGACGGTAGCGGGTCGGTAACTAGTACAAATTCACCTGGCAACAAAAGGCGAGGTTTCAGCGGGTGAGCTCTATATTTCGTATAGAAACTCCGTCGCGTCTAAACGCCTCACGCTTATCTCAAAATGTCATACGTGCAACGATAATCACGTACCATGGCCGGACGTTTCTGTTTATAGACGGAAGTGGCTCCCACCTTCTTTACGCAAACTTAGCCAAGGTAAAGTCGAGAAAACCAATACAGCCGCGCCGACGTCATCGCCTCCTTTGATTGGGCCGTCTTTAAAGAAAAGCGGCTCGGACAAACGCTTTAAATTACCGAGCGGCGTCGAACATAATCGGCGGCCTAGCAAGACTGCGTTCGAAGCGGAGGCTGAGGTGCACGAAGGTGAGGAAATCTGTAAGGACGAGGGGGAGGAGGAGGAGGAGGAGGAAGAGGAGGAGGAGGAGGAGGAGGGGGAGGAGGAGGGGGGCGAGGGCGAGGAACAGCAGGAGGTTGAGGTAGATGTGGATGTGGACGTGGACGTTACGGAGAGCGACGACACGGTGGTGACGAGTTTGCAGGAACAGAACGGTGGCGAGGATGCCGACGACGATCTAGAACTTCCACCTCCGATGAAGCCTATAACCGAACCGATACTTGTAGCAACTGCAAATGGTCCATCGGGATCTACGATACCGAGTGAATTGCCCGGGAAACGAGTGAGTATTCGCGTCTTACCATACTCTTTCGAGAGTAAGATTCGATCGCGTCCAATATCATCTCATATACATCTTCCCTGTGTGTAATTGCTTCATTTAATATAGTCTGCCAGTCTGTCGGAACGTACAAAGATTCTCGATGGCGGTGCCACAACGGCCGATCTTTCGGAAATCGAACAAATCGTCAAGGAGAGAATGGTAAGTAGAGTCCGTTCATGTCACATGCACAGATCTGTCGGCGGTGGCATTGCCCCAAGTACTATGCCAAGTATCATTAACAGGAGCAACATACAGAAAATCAGGAGAGGCATAGTCTTATGCGAACCCCTAACGGGAAATCCCTAACGTTAAGCAACGAGGAAGAATATTGTAACGCGACTATTAACGCAATCACTTCCGACGAGTCGGATCCGGAGAGTAGCGCGATCGCAAAGCGACAGTTTGTTATTCGCGAGCTGGTAGACACCGAGAGAGATTACGTCAATGACTTGAAGCAGATAGTCGAAGGTTACATGGCACTAATGCGAAATCCCGAGTGTGAGATTCCATTACCAGAAGATCTACGCGCTGGGAAAGATAAAATGGTTTTCGGTAACGTAGAAGCTATCTACGAGTGGCATAGAGAGTGAGTCGGATCAACCGTTGAAACCTCCTTTAGCGATGATCGCCTGAATCTATCGAAACGTTCACATCGATATTTCTTCTATGGCTTTTTTTTACAGCTTTTTCCTCAAAGCTTTGGAACGTTGTTTGGAACGTCCTGAAGAGCTCGGACCTCTCTTTAAACGTTACGAACGAAAGTTGCACATGTACGTGGTTTATTGTCAGAACAAGCCCGTTTCGGAATACATTGTGTCCGAATATATAGATACTTATTTCGAGGTAATCAGTTAAATCGATAAGAGCTGCTATGCACAAAATGGAAACATTTAATCAAAGGGACGTGTATGTTACAGGAACTTAGGCAAAAACTTGGGCATCGTTTGCAGCTCTGCGACTTGCTGATCAAGCCTGTACAAAGGATTACAAAATATCAACTTCTTCTACGAGAGGCACTGCGCCTCACTGAACGAACTCAAAGGTTATCGGAAATCGAAGGCCTCAGAGCGGCGGCTCATGTCATGCGAGTTATTCCTAAAGCTGCAAACGATATGATGGACGTTGGGAGATTACAAGGTTTCGACGTGAGTATTGCTCTTTTTCCACTCGGCTTTCGGTTTTTTTTTTACGCGGTAAAATCATTCTTGAAAATGCATTGTGTTTAATTTGCTTTAGGGTAAAATAACAGCGCAGGGAAAACTCTTGTTACACGGCCCGCTTCTAGTGTCGGAAATATCAAACGTAACGATGAGAGGAAAAGAATGGCAAGTCTTTCTTTTTGAGCAAAATATCATCTTTAGCGAAACTGTCGGCAAGAAAACGCAATTCACCAATCCTGTCTACATATATAAAGCACATATTCAGGTAAGGTGACGTATTAATTACTTGTCATTTCTATCCTTTGACCATTCTTGTTTCTAAACAAGTTTTAATATCGATGTATCCTATATATATTTACTTACGTAGGTAAACAACATGAGTCTGGAAGATTCGAACGACGATGCAGACAAGTTTATCATCCGATCGACGGATCCCCGAAACCCTGGGTTAGGATTCTCTTGTAGCGTAGCTGAAGAAAGTAGTGGACCGCGCAGGCAGGAGTGGGTAGATACCATCACTGCCATCCTGCAAACTCAGCGCGATTTCCTGAAGGCGATACAATCACCGATTGCCTACCAGAAGGAACTTACCAAAGATCCACTGTAAGCGTCTCTAACACATTGAATTATATTACACATTGTCTCTCTCTCTCTCTCTCTCTCTCTCTCTATCTCTCAATATCCGATCTGTGAATATTCGTTCCGACATATTTTTGTATATTTTATATAAAAAAAAGATGCAATTGCCGTATAAGAACTAGATAATCGTTAATCGTATCCTAAAGATACCATGGCCTGCTCTCCTCTGCGCTTTCCATTTCACCCCTCCATCGCCTGCTTTCCTCTGCGCCCTCCATTTACACCTTTGTTAACAAACTACTTTCCATCCATTTCAATATATCTTGGCGCCTACATTGTTATTGATGCCATATATTATAAGATATTTGCACGTATTCGTATCCAGTAATTTTTTTCACCATTCCTTTTCTCGATTATCTTTATATCTTGCTTTCGTAATACAAAGGAAACGATAATGATGCATAATTAATTAAAAACTAACTATATTTACGCGCAGGAGCTTAAAGAGTATCTACATACAACACAGTACTTACACTTGAAAACGTAATTTCTATCGGCTTAATAAAGAATGAAGTACACTTACAGTTGGTACAGAAGAGTATGCAGGGTGTTTAAAAAAAAGTGCTGCATTATTTTTTAATGACTTTGCTGGACGGATTTGGAAGCAATCTCTCTTTAGTAAAAGGCGACTGTGAGAGGAGCGACAAAAGTAACTTTCTAATATTATATATTTACACACTCGTGACTGGATATTTTTTGAAAATTATCGTTAAGGTAACATTGCTTCCAAATTTTTGTAAAACTCCATCATTAAAAAAACGATGCGATAGTTTTGGAACATACAAATACATAATCAGCTATATATCTTTTCATATTCGATGACATCTTGAAATGATTGTAGACTTGCAACTATCGCTGTCTATCAGATATATACGGAAGCATACACTTTAGTGTTTTAGATTTTCATGCAAGAGTTAATGCTCTTTTTATCATTTCATGGATCAAAATCTAGTCACCCTGGTTTTTTAATTATAACGTATACTACTCTTCTAGACTCGACTATCTGATCCCAGGAGCTTATAAACGTGTATTAATCCGTTCCAATGCGCTTGCATATGCGTGCATGTATTGTATGCATATATTATGTACGTGTATATGCACAACAATGGGGGCGTATTTTGTTGTTTACGTGCGTTACATCTCTACACACATGCGACTTATAACGATATGACGACGATATACGTGAGAGAAACGTGCTACGAGTGCGATGTATTAATAACGTAATAATATATGAAGATATGCAATATATATATATATATTTATAATAATTTTAATAACATTTACAAAATCATACATGCGCGCGCGCGCGCACGCGCACGAGTACGAGTCTATGGACAGATTGTGGCGTAACAGTATACTGTGTATATATTAATGCGCGATACTGAAGAACAGTCCGAAAACAAAGCTATAATTGACCCGCGAATCGTAAGAATTTTGTCTAGAATAAATTGTAAATTGTGATGATTAAGATCGAGTGATTGTGATATGCATCCTTTATCCTCATCTGTTATCTACACGCCCAATCCGATTAACCAGCTTCTTTTCTTATAATTTTATCAAGAACACAGTACTGCGAGAAACAAGTCCAAGTGTATCTACCATGATTACAACCAACCACCCACCCACCCACCTACCCACCTTACCGCCATGCGTTGAGAATACACACTCGTTTATTCTTCGACACGTCCGAAAGATCCAAATTGCTGTCAACGTCGGTATATATCCTCCGTATATCCTGGCTCATATTGAGACTCGTTTTTATCGATCGTTTCGAGATTCCAATCATTTGATGAGATGTCCTAAAAGATGACCATTTTTTTATTTTTATTCGTGTAAACGGTTAGTAGCGAGCGTATCGAGGTGAACGCGAGTCTCGACACGTAGTACTGTGTCTTGAATTTCATTTATGATTTGCTGGCATACAGCCGTGCCACCATCATCACCACCACCACCACTACCACCACATCTGAATCTGTGATACGAACAATCGTATCGGTTCCTCCGACGCTGATAGTCTCCGAATCGACGAACCGAGACTACAGGATGAATCAGCAACCGTTACAACGCTCACAGACCGGGGGATTGGAATGCGTGCAACCACGTACCCCCAGCCCAACAAAGGGTAGACTAAACTTCCTGGAGGGATTTAAGAATACTCTACGCACACGCTCGCCGATTCGCAACAATTCCATCCCGGTGAGCCAATCCTGATTAATGTGATGTTCTTAATAATTTTAACTGATAAATACACACACGTTATCATTCGTATCAATTGGAATTCTTGATGATTGCAGCAAAGGGGCTCTTCCTCTTCTTCTTGATGCCTGTCGCTATCTACCGCTATCTATTGCATTATCTTCTGTTGGCGCAACGATTGTTATATACTTGTATCGTTAAAGAACTCTATCGACTATCGAATGATCCACGAACGCCATACGCTATTACGTATTCTCTTAACTTGTGTAATGAAACCTCACACAGACGTAAAGCAAATGCTACATGTACATACCTACGAGGGATAATCGCTAGAAAGATGGAAAGAAATTCCAAAATTTCTTGTAACGAATGACTTTTGATTCTGTAAACTCCATTGTCTCTTCTAACGTCTTCTTACTCACCATAACACACACACACACGTACGCATACACGCGCGCACGCGCGCGCGCTATACTATGTATTATACTGCTGATTTTTTTCCATCACCGTCGCCAACGTTACTGCTATCTATAACAACTTACCGCTGCTACTCTATACTACTGATTCTATCAAAATGCTACTACTACGCTGTTATTTTCTTCTCTACCGGGATCGCTACTGTCATTATATTACCACTACCATCGTTACATTACGATACTGGAAGCCCTTCCTGGGTCAAACCTTCTGTCCCATTCAGAGGTTGAATACAAAACGGGGCATAGCGACGCAAGTTGCATGAATGATTCGCTTAACAACATGAAGAAAGTTCGAGAAGACTCTTATAACAAAGGAACTTCCTTAGGTCGTTCCAGGTGCACGTGTAAGATTGGCTGCGGATTGGGGAAAGTTACATGCCGGAGACGAGCTTGTTGTCTCCCATTTGGACGGTCCGGGCTTAGTGGTGTCCCCTGTGAATACCAAAGACGAGCTATGGATCCCGGCGAGTCTTATTCCGAACTCGGCAATCAGCCGATCGTGGTCATTTCGACCACGGAAGATTGATCTCGCAAGATGCCACAGTGCCGATCTCCAGGAGTCAACGACGACAACAATAACGCATCCCGAGGACAAAAGGCCAGTTATTCTGAATAGTCCGACGTCGATTCGCGCGACCGTCGGTGAAGTCGTTAGACTGTCTATTGAGACACACAACGCGGATAATGCGACTGTCGCCTGGAGGAAGGAGGGCGAGAATCAATATATAAGAGAGAACGATCGATATCAGTTCCAACGAAGCGCGGGCTTTGTATATCTACAAATCAATGGTTGCCGAACTTCAGACTGCGGAATGTATCACTGTCACTTAATAGGTGAAACGGGTTCTTCCTCCGCTGGAATTTCTCTCTACATCGTAGGTATGTCTGATGAAATATCCCAATATATGTATAACAAGTATCATGATAGTATCTTAGATGTATCTTTAAATCCTTATTGTGCTTCACAGGCGGAAAGAGCAGCACCTCCGCACGCGTTTTAGCATGTTCAAAGGTGGAGATCGATTGGGACAGGCAAGAGATCAATGGTGCGTCGTGAAGCAAGTTAATGAGCCACCCGTTTTACTGGATGTGTCAACGGATGCTTCATATAGTTTTCGAGTGGTGGATGACGATGGGAGGACGACCTCACCATCGATCGTAGTGACTCTGTCGCGATCAGACATAGGTGGTGGTGCGGAATGGGAAGCCAAGCAGTTCATCGGTAGGTATTTGGAGCTGGACGAACTGGGTAACGGTAGATTCGGCATAGTTCGTCGTGCCAGGGACAAGGGCACCGGTCAAGAGGTGGCACTCAAGCAAATTCCACGACACAAGCAATCGAGATCACTGACACGCGCGGAATACGACGTGCTGGCTTCCACTCATCACGCTAACATTGTCAGGGCGTTCGCATTGTTCGAGAACGCGCCTCGATCTGGAGTCGACACCATCGTCTTGGAACTGTAAATATTCACAAAAACATCTCGATAACAGAGCCATCATAGTATTAAACGATGCTTTCCTCTCTGCAGAGTCAGAGGTCCGACGTTGTTCGCACATTTGAGTGAGAAAACGGAATACACCGAGGCAATGGCGACACGATACACTTGTCAACTGTTATCCGCGTTGCATTGGTTACACTGTCGCAGCCGGGCGCATCTGGATATAAAACCGGAGAACGTTCTGATTGATCATGAGACGGACCAGGTGAAGGTAATAGATCTAGGGGAAGCGGTCAGAGCTCCCATCGACGAGATTGTGCCGCCCCCTGCCGATTTGGAATTTGCAGCACCGGAGTCGGTGCTAGGTAGACCGACCGGCACTTACACGGATATGTGGGCCGTCGGAGTTTTTATTTACGTTTTGCTAAGGTATTCTCCTAAAATTGCTTATTTAGTTGATTTTATTATGATTTCTTTTTATATTGCACTGTCCGTGCCTCATCTTTTGAATACCTTAGTGGATTGTCGCCTTTTTTGGACGACTCCGTCGAAGAAACCACCGCCAACATTCTTAAATGCGATTTCTGTTTTCCTGACGAATATTTCAAGATTATATCCAGCGATGCAAAGGAACTCCTCGGGAGAATGTTATGCCTGCGTGGTGAGGATCGAATGAACGCAGAGACCTGTCTTGGTTCGCCATGGTTAAAAGTAATATAAGATTCATACTGATCGTTCTCTAAAATAATAATTTATCATTTTATGATGTCAATTCTTCGACGTTGCGTTGAAATTTAATATGACATTGTTCATTTTTTTTAATTAGATATCAACTGGTGCTACGATACCGTCCACTAGAATGGCCGCATTTATAGAACGTCGTGCACACTGTTTTAAACTGCGTCAAGACCATAATGACAGTTTTCATTCCTAAGATTAACAATATGCAGTAAGCATGTTACTTAAAATACATGACAAATTTACACATGTAAATAGCAAAATATACTTAAATGTTTAATTGTTGATATCCTTTAAATTCCGATATATTGATTAATACTTTTTTTCTTTGCTCCCCTTATTTCATGAAATTCTCTTTTCATTTTATATTTCCATTTTAAATATCCGTCAGCGATTGAATCGATAATGAAAAACTTCAATGACAATATGTAGGATTTCCTCCTATTTGAATATTACAACATTTTTATTGTTTTTAAATTTGTTGTTACAAAAAACAAAAGTTAATACAAAACATTGTTTCGAATGAACAAATATAATAAACAAAAAGATTGGTATTTATAATACGTGTTTGTGGAGTTTATGCCGAGAATGATCAAAAATTTCGAAATTGATATATTTTTACCATTACTTACAGCGTTTTCGGCCCGGCCGAATTTGCACCAATCTATATATATAATACGAAGCAAAATTCATCGGAATTCTGTTTTCTGATTGGTTGCAGAGCGTCACGTACGACGAAAATCGGATGCAGTGTGAATCCAGCATAATGCCCGTATCAGGGTGCCGTCACATACAGCCCGTAATCCGTAATCCGCACCGGATATCTGCAAACGTTACTAGATATTGCGTCCGTAACGTTACGTGTGTTTTACCTCCTTG